TCTTCGATTTCCAGGGAATAGGAGAAGAACCAAGTGAAATGTAGAAACCGCTGACAGATTTTCGTGAATCTGGGCAAGTCCCTCAATCAGAATCACAAAAGACCATCAATTTGAAAGAGGAAGATGATGACATAAAAAAGCCCAGGCCTGGATCTTTCAGCAAATAGCGAAGTACATGAAAGGCGGCTTGAAGGTGTGGTTGGCGAGGGTCCTGCATGTACTGGCTTAAATGCTGAACTGTGAAGGAGAGGTCTGGTTTGGTATGTGTTAGATAGTTGAGTTTCCCCAGGAGATGGCGATACAGAGTTGGATCAGCAATAGGATCTCCTGTTTTAGCAAGAAGCTTTACCGTAGGGTCTAAAGGACAGGAATCAGTAGACAAGTGCGAGGAGTCAAATTCATGCAAAAGGTCCAAGGTGAATTTTCGTTGACAAAGGATCAGACCCTGAGCTTCTCTGATGACTTCCATACCAAGGAAGAAATGTAAGGTACCTAAGTCTTTAATTCTGAACTCTTGATGAAGAAACTCTTTCAATGTAGTTAATTCAGCATCATCATTGCATGTTAGCAAAATGTCATCAACATAGACTGCAACTATAGAAATAGAGGAGTTTGTCTTCTTGAAAAATAGGGAATAATCATTTAGAGAGTGAGTGAAGCCTTTGAAATTGAGGGCAGCTTTGAGCTTGGCATACCATTGCCTTGATGCCTGGCGAAGTCCATAAAGTGACTTTTTCAGTTTGCAAACGTGATTAGGAGTAGGAGGACTAACCCCAGCAAGAAACCTCATATAAACCTCCTCATTTAAATTGCCATGTAAAAATGCATTGTCTACATCTAATTGGTAAAGTCCCCAGCCTCTCTTCACTTCTGTAGCCAAAATACACCTCATAGTGGTCATTTTAACCACTGGTGAAAACGTTTCAGTGAAATCTATTCCTTCTCGTTGTATGCCACCTCTAATGACCAATCTGGCTTTTAGCCTTTCTATGTTGCCATCTGAGTGTTGCTTGACCTTATATACCCATTTACATGGCAAGGCTTTCCTACCTTGGGGTAATTCTACCACATCCCAGGTTTTATTGAGCTCCAGAACTTCAATTTCTTTTGCCATTGCTTCCTGCCAACCAGGGTGATGAGCAGCCTGTGCATAACTGATAGTCTCTTGGATATTAGACAAAGAGTTAAGCATATGTTGGTTAGAAGAGGTTAATCCAGTAAAGGACACAAAAGTAGGAGTGACTGGAGCTAGGAAACATGAATCAGATACATCTGCGAGGTGAATTGCATTACAAACATAGTCTTTTAGATAAGCAGGTGTGACATGAGGTCTGGTAGATTTCCTGATGAGGGATTCTATCATAGGTACTGAAGCAGGAGTGGAGGAAGAGAAGGTAAGAAAAGTGGAATGTGGGTGAGAAGTGGAAACATGAGAAGAAGTGGTAGACAAGAAAATGTGTGGAGGAGAGGCAGGAGTGGGGAACTTAGGAGAATAAGCAGCAGTAAATGGTGGAGAGGAAACAACATGAGTGGAGGGAATGATAGGTGAAGAATCAGAAAAAGGAGTACTGGTATAAACTTTAGCAAGAGGTAGAGAAGGATTAGGGGAAGAACCAGTGTTTATAGAAGCAAAAGGAAAGAACTCTTCATGAAAAATGACATCCCTAGAGACAAAGGTCTTAAGAGTCTGTAGATTAAGCACCTTATACCCCTTCTTCCCATGTGGATATCCTAAGAAAACACAAGGTAGTGCCCTTGGCTCAAACTTTGGTATGTTGTGTGATATAGTAGAGACAAAACATAAGCAACCAAAACACTTAAGGTTTGTATAATTGGGTTTGGCTTTGAACAGAACTTCATAAGGGGTTTTGAAGTGTAATATCTTAGAAGGGAACCTGTTAATTAAGTAAGTGGATGTTAATAAAGAGTCTCCCCAATATGTGATATGCAGATGTGATTGGTATAGTAAGGCTCTGGATGTTTCTAGTAAATGTCTATGTTTTCTTTCCACAACTCCATTTTGTTGTGGTGTATAGACACATGAAGTTTGATGTATGATCCCTTGTGAGTGAAAATAATCTGACTGAAGGTGCCCACTACCTAATTCAAAAGCATTGTCGGACCTTATAACTTTGACTTTGGTGTGAAACTATCTCTCTACCATGTTTAAGAAGGATTTCAAAACTGTGAAGGCATTAGACTTAGTACTTAATAAATAAGTCTAGGTACCTCTGCTAAAGTCATCAACAATAGTGAGGAAATACTTATAACCATCATATGTAGGACTACTATAGGGTCCCCAGGTGTCCACATGAATCAACTCAAATATTGATTTTGTTGAAATAGAACTTGAAGGAAAAGGGAGTTTAGATTACCTTGCCATAGGACAAATAACACATGGAGTAGAAAATTTGGAACAGGAAGATATTGAAACTGAATAAATATTTCTCATATTGCTTAAAGGCATGTGGCCTAACCTATAATGCCTCAACTTTTCCTTTACATTGGAATCAGAAAGATTAAAACAGGAATTTAAAAAAGGAACAGAACTAGATTTCTATCTAGATACAAAAGTATTTCTAGACTTAGGTAAACTCTTAGAAACTGCAGCTGAAACTCTTGACTTGAGGATGTAGAGACCTCCCTTTTCTTTACCAATCTCCAGAGGGCTCTTCAGTGAAGGGCCCTGCAGCAGAAAACAAGAAAGAGGGGTGAAAAGAACATACTTATGAAGTTGTCTACACAACTTGTGTATAGATAACAAATTGAACCTGAAAGAGGGCACATACAAGACATTATGTAGTACCACATTACGTAAAATTGACACTGAACCTGCGTGTGTAACTCTAACTCTATATGAATTTGGAAGTTTAACCATGAGGGGTTTAGGCAAAGCCTTATATTCTGTGAAAAAGTGTTTGTTGAAAGTCATATGCTCAGTTGCTCCACTATCTAATATCCAAGACTCGTTATCAATTTGAATGAAATAGGCATGTGACTTAAAAAAATTGGCTATACCAGCACAACTAAGGTTTGCAGAAGCATCAGAAGTGGAAGTTGCCTGCTGTCACATGTTTGCCTGATGGAGAAGTTACAGAAGCTGTGTTACATTCTCCTGTGTAAGTGTCTGAATCCCTGCATTGTGTGTTCCTTGATTTGCTTCTTCAGCTGAGTTGAATGCAACATTTGCTTGCACTCCTCCTTGAAATTTCCTTTGTTTTGTGAACTTAAAGTCTGTGGGAAAACCATGAATCCTGTAATATTTTTCAATACTGTGTCCTGGTTTCTTACAATAAGCACATATTAATGAGTTTCTTTTTGCATCAAAAACTCTTTTGTTGCCTCTCTGTTCATTGTATTTCTTACCCCCTGCTTGATTGAAAGCAATGAAGGAGGCTGAGTCTCCTGGGTAAGCAGGGCTAGCTTGAATTTCTCTTTGTTTTTCATCTTGCATTACCAATGCATATGCCTGTCCAATAGAGGGGAGTGGAGAGGACAACAGTATGTTGCTCCCAACTCCTATGAAGGTCTCATTCAATCCCATAAGGAATTGCAAGAGCCTTTCATCCTGATGAGCCTTCTGGTTCTTTGCCTTTGCTCCACAGTCACAGTTGAGAGCATCTAGCTCATCCCATAAGCTCTTCATTTTGGTGAAGTAAGTAGACACACTTGAACTCCCCTGCACCACAACACTTAGTTCTTTCTATAGTTGGAAGAGCTTAGCTCTATTTGTTTGACCAAATCTATCTTCCAGGTCACTCCAAAGATCTTTGGCACTCTGGGAATATAACACACTATCTGCTATTTCCTTTGAAAGGGAGTTAAGGAGCCATGAAAACACCATGTCATTTGATCTGGCCCAGGCCTGTTGAAGACCTGAGTTTGCAGCTGGAACAGCTAGGGATCCATCAATGAACCCTAGCTTGTTCTTTGCTGACAAAGCTATCACCACGGCTCTTCTCCAACCACCATAGCTCCTGCCATCAAATACTGATAAACCAGGTTCATTCTTGGGTAATCTGAAGGGTGAAGATAGTAAGGGTGTGTTGAATCAACAACACCACTAACCATGGAACCTACTGGAAGGGATCCAGCTCCAACGGGAGTGGAAGAAACAACTGAAGGGCTGCTCTGAGATTCAGTAGCCATTTCACACAAGAGAGGGAGAAAAGAGATGTAAAAAAAAAAGAAATTGGATCGCAAGCACTTCAAGCCTGCTCTGATACCATAACAAAATAGAAGAGGAACTTAGGAAAAATTTTCTATATATTTGTTGATAGATCAACGTCTGTCCAAGCTACTACATAAATACACTGGAAAAGGAATCTATTCTCTAACTACCTAGCCAGCTGTACAATTCTTATTAGTTGTCTTGTAACAGACTAAAGGATAATCCAAAGAATAAATCAAATTGTATATACAAGGTGTATTTTCTGTTTCCTACTACTTCTTCTAGTAAGCCCAAAGAATATTGATCCAATTTGGGCCCAAAACTGTTAAGACCCAACAGTTGAGAAAGAGCTGCTTGAGCCCAAATGTCTGATGACCCATTAAGTCCAAACCATTGTAACCATTTGATTAATTGCATCCCATCCGTCCATTGGCATTAAAACCTAAAGTCTCTCTTTCAGACATAAACATACGAAGCTTATCAGAGATGAGAACTATCCAGAATCTCTGTCAATAGAATGTTGTACCTCCATCGATAAACCTTCATTTTTACCATTATCAGCTCCAAATTTTGTATCATCACCAACATAAACAAGGGAGACGCAAAATACAAAAACTTGAGATCTCATCATCTCACGTTTACAGCATTTGGATTTGCAAGATGAACTGATGCAATAAAAGAAAAATTAAGCATAAAGTAACTACTCCAAAACAACCTTGCACCTAATAGTTATTATAGTGGTTCCTTCCTTTCCTATGTTGGATAATTGAAATCCTGTAAGACATGGTTTGGTTAATTTAGTCTCAGAATATATAATTTGGGTATATGATGTGTTTAATGTGCCTTATTATTATCAATGTAACACTAAACCAAAATGGGAAGTTAAGAAAGAGTAGTTGCATATATACAAAGTGATAATATGATAGACGAATGACGTATCAACGCTAAGAGACTTCACGTAAAGACATGAAATAGATGCACTCAACTATGAATTTTGTTCATGAAGCAGAGTACCGTCAATATGTACGCACGGAATGTTTGCTATCTTCAACCAGTATTCTCCTTTCTCCTTCAAGCACTTTTCTTTTAGAAGTGGCGAGCCTCGAATTTCCAGATATGAGATTGTATCAAGCAACTCTTGATTAGGCAAGTGACGAAGCTTGGCGCAGTCCCTTATTAGCAGATGCTCTAGAGAAGACAGATTTACGAGTCCCTTGGAAAGAGATTCAAGATTGCAGAGTCTACCAAGCCAAAGTGAGGTTAAACTGGATGGAAGCACGCAATCATCGGGAAATGAAACGAGATCCATGAATCCATCAATGACTGTCAACTTTTGGAGAGTGGTGAGCTTGTGCAGACCCCATTCTGATAGAGGTTTGAGTGTGTGACAGCTGCTGGCCCAAAGTGAAGTTAAGTTGGGAGGCAACTCCTGCTCAGGAAATGACTCGAGACTGGTACAATCATGTAGCATCAGGGACTCAAGTGATGTAAGGCCTCCAATCTGATCAGGCAGTTTGTGGAGATTGCTGCAGCTCCAGATTGAAAGGCTTCTCAGATTATGGGAAGGCAAGCAACCATGTGGGAAAGACTCTAGAGTATCACAACGACTTATGTGCAATTCGACAAGACATGAAAATAAAGTTGGCATTCTTTCTACAGATCTCAGTAACACGGTGAAACTTGGCCAATTAGAAATCCTGAGACGTTCGAAACTACTGCTTCCCTGCAGCAATGTATCTGAAACTGAAGCGAGCTCCCTACAATTATCAATTTGGAGTACCTTAAGAGTAGTTGGCAGTCTGTGAGTTGAAATGGATCTGAGTGATGGGCAGCCGTCAATCTTGAGCTCCTCAAGACAATGGCTCCGATGAGGCAAGGTCTCCAAAGCCACACAATGTGCAATTTCAACTCGTTTAAGCATGGTAGATAGCTCAGCAACATCAAGTGAGACAATTTTCGGGCATGATCTGATGCGCAACTGTCTGAGAGATAATGCGTTGTCAAATCCACAGGGAAGATTCTCAAAATTAGAGCACTCACATATGGACAAAGATTCAGGTGTCTGAGGCAATGCATTCTCTTCTAGTGACAAGCACTTCAGTTGGGGACACTTAGAAATTCCCAGATTTTTCAGATTACTGAGATGTTCTATTGAAGATTTACCATCCCACAGTGATATCAGATCCCCACACTCAGTTATATCCAAATCTTCAAGTGACCCCAGATACTGTGTTAACTCTTTAGATAGTAGACTGAGTCCCCAAACACAGCGAATTTTCAGGACCTTTACGGAAAAGATGCCAAAAATGCTTCTAAGGACTTGCACGTTACATTCATCTAAATTCAGCTCACGAAGTACTGGAAAATTAGAGAGAGAAACAACACTCAATTTGGGACAATTACATATGCTAAGCTCATGGAGTCGAGGAAACGCATTGCTGAGCGAAATGTACCATTCCTCCCATTCCGGCAAGTTTTCAAACCTCAGAACTTCCAGTGCTGGAAAACCCAAATTTAAGGGATCATCACCTCCACAAAACTCAGTACCTACCCTTTTCACACATGGCATGTCATGAACATACAATTCTGCAAGAAGCGGCAGCTGCCCAAGTGTTGGCAAGGTGAAGCTTCTACAACCACCTAATGTCAAATGAGTTAAGCTTTTAAGCAAGCCCGGGCTTATCCAACTTGGATATTCTATTCCCCCATAAAACAGTATACTGAGTCTTCCCAAGTTCCCATGAGGTTGTAATAGTTCAAGAACATCCTTTTCAAGTCTTGCATCCCTTGAACCATCAAAATCTTTGTTGAATTCCATCACCAACTCATCAATGCCTTTTTTAGAAGCTAAATCAGCTTCCCTTGCATCTGTAGTATCAGTGACACTCTGCAACTCCGTAATGGCAAGTGTTCCATGGAGATTCGACAGGCTTTTTAGCTCCCACAGTTTCAAGCTATTACTTCTGCCTAATACCATTTTGTGGAGAGTCTGCAGACTTGTCAACTTATAGATTCCTGTGGGCATCTCTTGTAATTGCTCGGTGTCAGCATTATTAAGATGTCTGAGGTTGATTAGATTTCCTAATGTTGCTGGCAACTTAGTGAGTCTGTAGCAACCACACAGCAAAAGGGACTGTAGATTATAGAGAGAACAAATTGATTCTGGTAGCTGCTTAATTGATGTCTCCGATAAGTCAAGGAAGCGCAAATGTATCAAATCACCAACGGAGTTTGGTAGCTCAGCTATGCAATATCCACTTAATGACAGAATTCTCAAGGAACGTAGTTTAGGTAGGAAATCCAATAAGCCTTTTGATATGTAGGACTTCTGCCAACCTTCTAACTTCTGAACCTCTAAGGGTAAAAATGTCCTTAGACCTTGAACGGCATGGAGGGAACTGAACCTTTTAAAAATTTCATACTGCCGACGAACATAAGATGAATGTCTCGCCTTCTGACAATTTGTTGTCCTTTGTGTACCCTCTGATCTTTCATCCAACCTAAAGCATATGTCTCCAGCAACAAACTCGGCTAAATCATGTATTAAATCATGCATCATGAATCTTGATTCATTACCACTAGAATGTTGGAAAAATGACCTCGATAACAGCTCATTAAAGCATTCATCACCCAATTCTTCAAGTATTTTCTTTCCTTCTGATTGCTGCAAGAATCCTTCCCCCATCCACAACAAAATAAGCTCGTCCTTGTCAAACTCATAATCCTTCGGAAATATTGAGCAGTATGCAAACAAGGGCTTCAAATCAGAAGGGAGATGATAATAGCTCAACCGTAAAACAGGAAGAATGTCACTTTTTTCTTCAGGTAAATCCCATATCTTGCTATTTAGTATATCTTCCCACTCCTTTGGCCTTGATTTTGTTCGCAAGAGACCACCAAGAGTCTTTGCAGCCAAAGGCAAGCCTTTACATTTTTTCACCAATCTCTCACCAATCATCCTCAAGTCCGGCTGTGCATCAAAATTTATTGAACCCAAAGCATGCTGACAGAATAATGATAGGCAATCACTACTTGCTAACTCCTTCAATCGATAAGGAGTAACAGAACTCATAACAGATGCAACACCCTCATTGCGCGTCGTGACAACAATTTTACTTCCAGGCAGTCCAACTCGCAAGGGACTCAGAAGGAGATCCCACATTCCGTAATTCTCATTCCATACATCATCAAGTACAAGAAGAAACCTGTTCTTCGAAAGCTTCTCCTTTAAACTTACTTGAAGCATATCCAAGCCCTTAATCTCTCTACTTTCGGGTGCCACAGACTCAAAAATCAAGTTGGTTATGCCCAATACATCAAAAACTTCAGAAACACAGACCCAAATCTTCAAATCGAAGCAATCATTAATTTTGGCATCATTGTATGCAAGTTGAGCAAGGGTTGTCTTGCCAACACCACCCATTCCAACAATTGGAATGATGCAAGCTTCAAAATCACAATTTCCCTGATTACTCAGCAATAAATCAAGAATGGCATGCTTATCCTTTTCACGGCCATAAACTCTAGATTCATCCACTAAGGAAGTTGTAGGCATCCGTTCTCTCATTCTAATAAAACTAAACCTCCCTCCATTATTTTCACTCAAGCCTAAATCAATTTTCTGCTGTGCCATCTCTAGTAATCTAGAGTTGATCTTCCCTAGCTTGGACTCTAAAGTATGGTTAAACTTCAAAGTACTAGGAGTCAAACTGGTACAGCAAGTAGGGATCAGTTTTTGTAACTTACTTCTCTTGGAATTAAATTCTGTCATCATTTTGCGCCGGAAAATCTCTGTGGAAACCTCATCAAGAACATCATCCAAGTCATAAGCCAAGTCCCTGAGATCTTCTAGCCACAATTTCACAGCTTTATCAGTGATTTGCTTCTCTTCAGCATCAGCAAGCGCTGCCAGAATCTTGGACAATGTTCTGCTCCATTTCTTGAGCTGAAACTGGATTCCTTCTTTTCTTGCAAAGTTCAAAATCTCCCCAGAAGCTAACTTCTCAAACAACACAGTGATGAATGCTGAAAGAAACACCTCTGCTACAGCCATATTTCAACTCCCTACTAGAGATCAATTGGATACAATTTACTATCTTTTCACTTTTCAGTGGAAAAAAGATATATGATCAGCGAAAAACTGTGAATGCTATGGATTTGAAGCTCATGTATCAAATTGAATGAGGATTCAAAAAGGAATGTATGTTTACTTTTGCTAAGTCTAAGGTCAACTACAATGAGTCAACATTTTGCTGAAAGCCACCACCACAGTGGGTGCCAAGCCGGTTGTCGACTAATCATGTTTTCTCCTTTTTAATTTAACTAGTTTTAGTTTTAGTGTACGATACTTTGCACGTGTAAATCGTGCATTTACCGTCTTCTTTTCTGTAATTTAGGAATAATTAATTATATATAACGTAAAATTCACCTCGAAAAATTAATATATTTTCACGTTAATATATTTCCTCTCTAAAAGTTGATCTGTTGAAGACTTGTTCTAACAAATGATTTGGAGTAGCGTATGCAGCTGTTCAAATATGTAGCCGAAACACCAAACTATCTTTTAATTAGTTGGCTAACAAATGTGCAAAAGGATTTTGTTACATTATCCATTTGACTTTTTTCACAATTTCCTTCGATAAACTTTTTATATGAATTTTTATGTAATATATATTGCACAACTCATTGTTTCTAGAAAAGTGAAATTCAAAATAACATGCATTATGTCATGGGCGGCTTTCCAGCCATGCCCCATGACCCTTTGGACGCGCCCCGTGGCGTCCTGGCAAGCTTCCCAACGCCCATCGCCACGATCGGCCCCGTGGTCTCGGCAGCTCCAAGTGACAAGCGCGCATGTGCCTCTGTCGCCCCACCGATAGCTATCGCTAGCGCGCAACCACAGGCAGATGCCAACAGCGCCGCGCGCGCAGACCCTGATGCTAAAGACAAAGTTGCTGCCAACGTACTTGTTTCTGCTTTGTAGAAGACTAAATCCTTTTCATTGTAAATATAGAGTAGTTTTACTGCATTTTCTTTAAGTGTGATTTTTCAACTTTTGTAGGTCTAGTCATGTAACTTTGATTTATTTTTTTTAAGCATTATTAAGGGGGACCAAGCAATCAAACTTTCAAGCAAGCAAATAATTCTTTGTACTAGTGTCTCTCCCCCCGACACCGTGTTGTTTTTCTGTAATAGCTTTCATTCAATGCAATCAAGCTTTCTTTCATTCTCAATTCTCTTTTCTGCTCTCTCTTTCAATTGATCACGACATTGATTTTTCCGTAAGGCACTGACAATCTAGTCTAGCGTACGGAGGGAACCTCAGGTGGCGGACATGAATTGCACTGACATCAGTTGCTTAGCCTTACGTCGCCCTTCCAAGGAACTTTAGGAAGGCGCCGCATAACAGTTGGTACAAGAGCCTAGGCTCGACATCGGACGAGGGATTACATTGCAATTACCACCATTTCTGACCATGGTGAATTATGGGGATCGCATTGCGACCCTTGAGGGAACGGTTGACGCATTACGGCCCGTCGTGGAAATGGTTCCTGACCTAAAGACCAGCCTAGTGCAAAGGTTGGACGACCTGGACCGCAGACTGATCTAGGCCGAAGTTGACATAGAAAACATCAGTCGCGACTCTGAAGGAGACCGGCAAACGGCAGCCACAGAGGCAACTGAAATTTTTGGTAAATTTGAGGTCCTTCAACAGGAGCACGCCGAGGATTTAGCCAACAGGGCACAAGAGGCAGACGGGGTGACTGACATGCAACAAACTATAGACAACTTGACAGGCCAGCTCAATGTTGTCAATGCTGCTTTACAAGGCCTGCTTCGAGGAGGTGGAAACCAAATCGGGGGTATTGTGAACCTCGCCCCTATGGCCCAAAAACTGAAAATTCCTAAGCCAAAGCCATACAGTGGAGCTCAGAATGCCAAAGAAGTGGAAAACTTCATCTTCGACATTGAACAATACTTCGATGCTGTGGGGGGACTAGAAGAAGTTAAGAAGGTATCAACTGCTGCCATGTATCTTTAGGGTGATGCCAAACTTTGGTGGCGGGTGAAATACGAAGCCATCAAGGCTGGTGAAGATGCCCTCGAGACATGGGCAGAACTGAAGGCAGCCATACGCCTACAGTTCTTCCCCGAAAGTGTTGAGTACAATGCTAGGAGAAAGCTACGGGAGCTCCGCCAGACCAAATCAGTGCGGGATTACGTGCGGGAATTCTCTGCGCTCATGCTGAACATCCGCGACAT